GGGGGGGGGGGGGGGGGTAGCAGCATAAGCTTATAGTATTGAATGCTTTTTCTGAATAATAACAAGTCATTAACAATGACATGTCCCTTTCCAGTTTTTAGTGTGACTATATAAACAATGAAAGATGTAGATAGATTATAATTAAATGTTGGTAGGAGTATTCAGCATCTTATAAAAGATGATGAACATACTGATGAATGGATGGACAGACTGGCAGAACCCAAAAAATACATGCAAGACCCTGTTTTAGACTTCGCCCAATGGAAATTAATATAAACAGCACATGAAGGATCTATTATTTCACCATGGATCATGGAAAAACACTTCAGAAAAACATTTCAAAGGTCAGCAGTATGCTTGTAACATTAATGTATGTGTTTATTTTTTGTCAAAATTCAACATCTACATGAATATAATTAATAACATAATGGTTATTGACATCATTTAAAAACACAGCTACTAGTGAATACAAACTGACCTAAATGTTATAACATAGTGTGCATAGCAATACAAACTTGTTGCACTATTGTGTCAAGTACGTACCAGTAAAAAGAGCAATGGCACCAACATTATAGAATTCAGGTTCCTCCAGTATCTGATTTTCCAATGATCGATAGTAGAGAATCATCGCATTAAAGTCACCCAATTTTGGATCTTCCCTCATGAATTCTTCAAGAGTTTCATCTCGTTCTTTCTGCCATATCTCATGATAGTGTTTGAATTTATCAAGCGCTGTGGTCACTTCCTGTGATGGATATAATCATTGTGAGTTGACATATATCAAAATGGCACATTATTATTGGTCGATTGACACCATGTGATTCCCTGGTATCAGATATATATGTAGAGCCTGAGGTTGTATGATATTCAAAAATATTTTTCACAGACAAATCAAACCTTGATTCTTAGACTTGCGTGTACCATTTACTACTGAGTATATGTACTAAATTTTCAAACATTTCATGGTTTCATAATTAGAATAAATGGCTCTGGTCTGGGAATTTTCCAGGTACAAATACAAGACAAATACTATTTATTTATTTTTATTTAACACTTTATTTAAAGAGGGTAGGCCAATATACAATAAAGTAATTTTCATTGGGCCCTCTGTAGGGACAAAAAACACAATATACATATTATAGGCTTGAGCCATTTACAACAAATTTTTCACTCAGATAAATTTTGTAGGTTTTCTTAAAAATGTCTAAAGAGGCTGAATTTCTGATATGGAATGGCAAGTTATTCCATAGGGTTACCCCTCTATACTGAAACGTCCTCTGACCCATGGATGTTTTCCATTTAGTAATGCGTAAATTATTTTTAAGAGAGGGACGTGTACTATACTTGTGGGTTTGGGAGATAGGACTGAACATTTCACTTATATATAAAGGCGCCAAGCCATTGGTTGCCATATACATTACGATACCTAGAAAATATGAAATTCTGTAATCGATAGGCAAGATACTATGTTTTTT